ACCTCCTAAAATCTTCCTCTCCCCAAGTCTATCAGCAGTGGAGTTTGAGCATTGTGAAAAGGTGAACTCACGCAGTCCATAGTGCAGTGTGATAGCAACAGCTCTCACACTCGGTACTCAACAAGATGCTGTTTCTTCAAAACCCAACCTCTTCAGATGTACACCATCACTGACAGAATTTTCTGTGGGAAGGTTTCTCAAATATATGGGAAAACTGCTGGACTGAGGTTCAGGAATAGCCCGGAGTTTAGGCACAAGGCTACAAGCGATGATGAAATTTCTTCTCTACCTAAACAGTGATCTCCTGTACCCCTGGAGAGTGTCCTAAACTCAGATTGCTGGCTGCTGCGGGCAGGCCTACCCCAGATTTTAATCATTTTGACCCTAGAAAAGCCCTCATGAGACAGGTTCAGAAAGAACAGCAGTGGGTAATGTATCCTATCCAGAGTAGGAGATTGCAGATATGAGATGATACTGCTAATGCCCAGACCACCAGCTCCTCTGAGACAGACTACTACAGCCCATTCCACACTGGAATCAGAATTAATAATAATACACCACTTTCAATAGCAGAGGATCCTTGTTTTCCAGCCAGCCCATGGAACAAATTTAAGAAGAGATTCCTTGCAAGCACTAGCACAGACAGGGACTTGGGATCCTCATGCTTTGGTTACAGCCACAGGAGAGCCTAATTCATTACCAATTCTCATATTTTTTCTGAATAATCTTATCTATAAAATGGCTCCTATTGGTAATTACATCAAAGTGTCCTGAAGAAAAGTCAGTACTTAGTTTAGAAAAATTATTTATTTGTTTGAAAAGCCTCTGGTGAGAGCTGTGATCAGATCCCAGAGAGGGTTATTGTGTACCAGGGCAGCTGGGTCACCTCTGTTTGTATACGGCTAATAAAGAGTTATCTGGAAGCCAATTATATGAGTTCCCATATTATTATGTTGTGTAAAGAGCAAGGACATAACACCTTTTCCCTCATCTTTCTGCTGTTTTCCATCTCTTTTAACAAGAGCCTTACAGCAGATGCTGTCACAAATTTTAATAAAACAAACTGCCTTTTTGACCATCTTTATCCATTTCTTCTTGTCTTTATAGGCTAGAAACATATTAGAGGGTCTAAGTGAGGGAAATTACTCTTCTCTCCCACTCCCTCCTCCCCATCCCTGTTCCAGTCATTCTCCTGAGCACTGCATGCTGTGACGTTTTTCCTCTTGCAGAAAACCAAAACCGCAAAGACAACCTCACAGAATATATGTAGCTACCTTGATACTCAGTTACACTGATTGTCAGTCAACCCCTATGGTTTCCTCCTGTACTGATCTCCAGCAGGGCCTGAGATCATGTCAAAGCCCATCCCCAGGCCCCTTTGGATGCTGATGAGATAGTAAGCATGAGTGTGGCAGCACACAGAGCCCAGCTACGGTGAGCAAGGTGCCACGGCTGGAGAACATCCTTAGTGTGGTCAAGCATGCTCCTCAGCTGTCCTGAAAACAGGTTAACCAAATCACAGCATCATCCCAAGGCATAAAAATCTAGGATGTCTGCAATACCAACTCAGAGAAAAAAAAAAAAAAGAAAAAAAAAGGAAAACAGGAAAAAAAAAAACAAGCAAACCAGGAAATATGCCAATAACATGTAACCTGATTAAATGCTGCACAGCTGCTGCTAGTAATGCAGAAGAGACACTGTCTCCTGTCCCCAGACCATGGAGACTGCTGTATTCATGGAAATGCAGTCGTGTATAAGTAGGAGAGTTCTGTGTGCACCAGTGATTCACTGTTTTGCCCTTTCCTGTTTTCAGGTGACTCAGGGCAAGTCTTGTCCCATTACCTCTTGGACTCTGCATCTTGATGAAGAAGCAAGAAAGTGTGGAGTGAGCCAGGCTGGAAGCTGGCCGCTTGATGGGGACAGCTCAAGAGGAGATAGTTTTAAGACAGGTATTTCTCGTATTGTGCCCTTCCCACAATTTCAGAAGCTGATCACATTGCCTGAGAACAAATTTTAGAAGACCTCAGCATTCAGCTATGCCAAAGCACTACAACTATGACAATAACTAGAGGCAAGAGTCTGGTACAGGGACACCCTCACTTCAGGCTTGGGTAGGGTTTTGCTCCCCGAGTTAGCTCAGCAGCGAAGTCAGAGCTAGTGAGACCTTAGTAAAACATTTCTTACAGAAAACAAAAACAAAGCCCAACCAAAGAGCAGTTTTGTAAGGCAAATTACTGAGAATGGAGTAAGCTGTTTAGAGTCTTTAATGATCTCTTTGTCTAAGACGGGACAATCATCTTCACAGTCCCTAAACAAATGGGTGGAAACACCTGTTGTCTTCAAGGTTAAAAGCAGAATAATGTGTTGACTGATTGCAGCTGAGTTACTGGGTAGAGCCAGGGCTGCTGCAGTTGGGTAGGAGTCCACCGGGAGCTCTCTTGGGGGAGAGGAAATGAAGCTGAGCGCAGAGAGGTATGGAAAAACTCGGGCTGTTCTCTATCTCAGTCGGGATATCCTAAAACTTTTGAAATTGACATGTGCAAGTCTCGGTGAATGTTTTTGTGCAAAACCATCTTGCCAGCAGTTTGCTTTATGCTGACCTGGTCGCTTTAGCAGCCTCCCAGCATTAAGATAGGGTCTTCCATATGTCTGGTGCTTTGTCTCACACTAGCTGTTTGTAGTTGTTTTCTCAGTAAAGTGGAGAACTCTGTGTGCAATGTCCTGATCCCTTTTGTGATGGGTTATTTTTGTTTTCCATGATTTAGCTACATGAAGATGCTTGGTTCTCTTTGCAGTCGTGTGGTGTTTTTCTTGCATATTCTGTGCTTGTAGAAAGAGTTTGTGTGAACAAAAGAAAGGAGTCTGCTAGTTTGTAAATGGAAATGAGGTCACTTAATCATTTAAGTACTGGTAGGTTTCTTTAGCGTCCCAGAGATGATAGCCACTAGAAGGGGTAGTTTTCATTGTGAAACTGCGCCTGAAGTTCTTTGTGCCTTTACTTCTCAAGGAGGGATTTCCTAGAAGGCTAGGCTATAAATTTGCCTGTGCACATAGTTATAATCAACTTTGAGTGCAGCCTTTAATAAGAAGCAGTAGAGGTTTTTTGTGTCTTGGTCTCTGAAACAAGCCCTGTGCCAGGAGGGTAAGTAACATCTAGCTGACCTCTGGGCAGGGATTAGTGGAAGGTGGTCTGTGGAATAAACTCGGGCATAATTTCAAGCAAAAGGAATATTGCCTTGTAGTAACATGCAGCTAATACAGTTTCTGCAGGAAAAGGAAAATCTGACTGTCATTTTGAAGAGCTGATATGTTTTCATATACTCGTGAGACGAACATTCTCCTAATGAAAATTTTCTGTTCAAATACAAATAGCTCTTCATGCAAAATACAAACACACAACTTTGAGTTTCAAGTCCCCTTGAGGATGCTGGCACCTTGTTCTGTGATGGAAATAATTCGTTTCAACTGCAAGAAATTAATTTTAGGGTAGCTTATTATGCCCTACAAACCTTTTAAATACTGATCATAAAGCTTGAGGAAGAGAGACGTGTCTCCTATTTGATTTAAAACACTGAAGTTTTTATATATTATTGATAATTTTATCTCGGCATGGAAGCTAACAGTTCTAATACAGGGTGATGAGTACCTCAGCAGCATTTGAAAACTATAGCTGCATACATTGGTGTGTTTTAGTTTTCTTTTTTGCGCAATAAAATGTGATATGTGGTAGATGCTAACTTTGTCGAGGCACTGATTTGGGACTTTTTAGTGTCATAAAACCTCTGAAGCAGAGACTTGTGCAATGTGAAACACTGACATAGTGCCTCTGGAGCACCAATGCAAAAGCTGGCTGATGAAGATGGGTTATTTGTGGTGGTGCTTGGAATTACAAACAGTGCAGGGTTCACTTGAACACACACAGAAACTTCCTCAACTTGCAGAACTTTCCAAACACTCGATGTGAGAGTAGTTTGACAATTCCCCTCTCTTTTGGGGTGGGGGAAAAAAAAGGAGGGGAGGAGGAAATGGTACTTCAGAGAAGCAAATTGTCTGATTTTGAACTTGTAATAGTTATATGAAAATTGTTGCAGTGTTGACAAAAGGACAACTATTTTTTTAAATAAACTGTGGAGTGTTTGCACCTTGTTTAGTCATGCCGATACGTAAGTGCTGCAGGAAATTGTTAGCACAGAACCTGATTGTGCACAAGCTGTTGGAGGAGACCCTTTACATGTGCAACAACTGTTTGAATCAAAGCTTTCACTCCAAAAGCACTATGGGAATGTATGATTTAATGTAAAGCAGTAGCCAAGCATTTTCTAGCCTCTGGAGCCACAAACTTCCAAAACTTTTCATGAAGTACTGAATTTCCTTTATAGTTGTGCCATACTGTGTAAACAACAACATCAAAACTAAAACTTTCAAATATTTGGATTCAACCCCCAAAGTTCAATATACATTACGAACTTTAAAAAAAAAATCATTAAAATGAGCAACAGGGAAAACTTTCTTTTTAGGACTTACTTAAATTTTCCTGAAGATTTATGTTTATTGCTTTTACACCTTCAGCTGGTAGAAATTACATTATGCATTCATTACCCACTTCATCTTTTAATATGCTGTAGAAAGTCATATGAAAGTGCCAAAATTAGCACTGTCATCCTCTGTATTGTCTGTTTTACTGCAGCACAGAGCTGTGATAGACTCAAATAATATACCTGTGGTGTCTGTCACTAGCACAGTCTCCTGTTCTGTTTGACTCGGACCTCACATGCATACAAATTCATTATATGCATTTTTCTTTTCCAAGAAAGTATACGTTTGGAGCATCAGCCATTTACAGACATATAGCAGAAAAAAAAAAAAAAAAACAGTGAATTTTCTTAATTCTTTACCCCTTATACTAATAAAAATTACGAAGGAAGGAAAAAAACAATGCAGAAAACACAGCTCCCCCAGCATTATTCACATTGCAGTAGACAGCGCAATTCTGTACTTACAGATCTTAACAGTGAAATGTCTCAGGATCTTTACAATTTTCTGCAGAACTGTTTCAAGCTCTCAGCAAGCCACAGTGTTCATCGAGGCAGAACAGAGCCGTATGGAAGGTCTATGCAGCTGGGAGATAATAGAACTATTTTCCCAGCTGGGACTACAAGCCTTTTATCCACTGAGCTTTGCGTGTCTCTTCATTGGTACTAACTGTGAAATACGCTGCTTTCCTGTTGTATTCATGTTAATACCCACACAATTAGTGATTGAATCAGATAAACAGCCACTACAATACACATATTCCTATCTGGAAATCCTGAGCATATGAAAATTAGCTCTGTGTGATCATCCCTCAAGATAGCTGAGAGAGTGAAAACGCAGCTGTCATACAAGTAGCATGGAAGATTAAATGTGCTGTTGTTATTCTTTTCGTACAAATATGAGCTCCTGTCAGGTAACCAGAAAACTCTCTTCTTGAAAACTGGGTCAGCACTTGATACTGGGTTTGGAACAGGAACGGGAATAATTTTGTTTAGTCCTGGGTCCCACAGTCGCTTCCATAAAATTAAGCTCACAGGATGCGAGTTGATACTTAGATTACATCCCAGCACTGACTCTCCTCTTGTAACTACCCCTCCATATTTTACATATTTAAATAAAGCCCCAAAAGTAAAACCAGGGGACTTGTTTGTCTACAGTAGCACAGCCATAAATCCTGATTACACATAAACCTCCTTAGATTTCCATTTTTTTCTCTTGGGGCTGCTTCAGCAGAGCTCAAATGCAAAACTCAAGACAGGGGCATGCCTTTCCTTTAGTAAGCAAAAGCTATTTGTATTCACAGGCAATGGAAGTGGAAACAGGAGTTTTTCAGAATGTCTCTGTCAAGAAAATTGCAACTGTGTCAGAGGCATTATTTCATAACATTTTAATGTAATCTTGGTGTAAATCCATTAGTTTATGATAGGATTAATTGCCTGTCTGTGCAATGGCAAGTGGAGAGGTCAGGCGGCAAGAAAACACAGCAGCATGTGGATGCCTTGAGTAGACCAAAACGGTAATTCAGTCAACAAAAGGGGAGGTTTCTGTATCTTTTTTAGTTTGAATTTTCCTCTCCTATAAACTAGAAGTACATTCTTTCATCCCGTTAGTTTCCAGCACAGTCTCTGTCTATGGAGAACTTGCACTAGGAATTAGGTGGTGTCTCCTCTGGCTCTGCCACAGTGCAAATAATTTTTGTCTGCTTCCTCCCTCCCCCAATGTGGTTTGGATGTGCTGAGGTGCAGTGGTTCATTGCAGTGTGACTGTGCTTCTTTGCTCATTGCCAGCCCGTGCGGAGGCATTGCTGAGTTAAACAGTGAGATTGCTCTTACTTGAGGTGGCTGTTGAGTTAGGACACCCTTGAAGAAAGATGAAGTAGCAATAGCAGGAGAGAAGGAAAAGATGTTGTCTTTCCTAAGAGGAGATTTCTGTTGATCATCTGCAGAGGAAGATGGTTTGTTGGACCTGATTTAAGTGGTCCATGTTCAACCTAATACCCTTGGAGGACTTATGACTATGGAAGCACCTCAGTGTCAGGTCTATTCTTCATTTGGAAAATGAGGACAATGGGACTATGGGAACTTATGGGATGTGCATAGAAGTGCCAAGTATCTTATGCCAGCCCCGTAGGGCTGGTATGGTGAGTGCTTCCTTCCTATTTCAGAGTTCTCATAGCCATCCTTCTTATTAACATAAACAATTTTAGACTTCCATTGTGTGAGCTTCTCAAATGAGCTTTACTGACAATTAATTAAGCCTTGCAGCACCTTCTAAAGTAGACAGGCATTATAATTAGCAGTTCTACTTTTAATTAGGAATAAAATTTGAAATGGAATTTTAGGTATTTCCTCATTAAAATTTTCTTTTAAATAATGTCAGTGCTTTTTCTAAGTTGTATCAAGAGTGAATAGACATAGTGGCTTACAACAGATTGAGCCAAGCTTCTCATCACCAATTTTAAAAGTTTATTAACAATCTAATCTTTCCTATGTCAAACCAAATGATTTTGCTTTTATACTGGTTGTGTAACAAGACTGCCTGGGAACAGAACTTCTCAGTTGCGGAGGAAATTAATGTTGTTAAAACTTTCTCATTTCCAGCTGTGAATGGAAACAAACATTTTAGAAATGTCCCTTCTAAAGGTAGACTATAAATTTCAAGATGTTGTTTCCAGGAATGACTGAAAATGTTAAATGTATGAATTTTGAACTTCTGAACCTCTGAATTGTATTTTTTTAGTTAAAAATTGTGAAGTCCTAATTACACCCTATTAAATATTATGTTTATAGCTTTTAGAAATTATATGAAGTTATGAAAAAATTGAATATAAACCAGCCTGTTCCTGAAGGTCAAGATAAAACATTAAAATGTTACCAAAATGTTGTGGGTTTGCCCAATTTTCTCTCAAAACAAAATTTTGTTGATGTTTCTTTGTCAAATATTTTGCTTCTGAGAAATCACCATATTCTGACAGAAAAAGCTGTCTTGACACCTTTTTAAAAAAAAAACAAACAAAACCCACAAGCAAACAAACCCCCCATATTCATAAAAAAATGCTACTTAACATATGTAACCTAGTTATGTTTCTAGCAGTCTGAAGCCCCTTGAAGGAACTTTTTCAACCATTAAGTGTTCTTGCTATTCTTGTTTGGGTTTTTGAAAGTGTTGGAGCATGGGCACTTGCTGCTCTGTTGTAAAGCAATATTTGGTGAGGCTTGAGCAACCTCAGCAGGCTAGGATGGGGGCTCTGACTGCCCCAAAAGTTGGCCCTGGATTATACAGTGGCAAAAGTTTCCCTAGATCAGAGTGAATTACACAAAGTTCTTGCCTGCCTTTCAGGGCACTTATAGACTAAAAATAACTCGGAGATAGGATCTGGTCTATAAACTGGACAGCAGATAGAACCTGGAACATAAGCTGGAAGACAGAAGAGAATTAGCAGGAGGTGGGGCAAGGTGTTTTTTTGCAGAAACTGCTATAGAAGGGTCTGGAACATGCTTTTCTCTCTTTCCTCTGTGAAAATTGGAGATGTCTTCAAATGATACACACGTCCTTTTCTAAGAGCTGTCACTATGCCTTCAAATGGAAATAGAGCTTTCCACCTTACTGCTAACTTCTTGTGGCTGTGTCAGTTTTTCTATCTCTCCTTTAGACAGGGTAGATAAATCCAAGATATCTTAGCAACATTTAAAGTGAATTAGATCAAGGACTAATATGATCTAGGCTTTTTCCACTGTGCTCCAACAGCAACTTGCCCTTGAGCTAGTTCCTATGATCACAAAGGCAAAATTTAAGGACAAAGATGAAACTCCTTTGAACAAAGGAATGTGATTGCATCCCATGAGGTGCTTTATTCAGGCACTGGTACCTGCTGCTTCGAAACTTGTCTGTTAAGCAACCTAAACTGCTATTTGGCATTTTCTCTGTGCATAGGACTTTGGTTGCTCTAAAATCTTTAATCATTAAGAATCTGTAGGCACTGCTCAAATAAGATTAAAAATGAATTTTGCAGGGCTTATCCTTATTCCAGAGGCAAAACTCTTAGGCCTGATTTGCTAACTGAATAGTTTTGGGTACAGGTGGCCTTACTAGAGGCATCCTGTGTGATGTTGGAGAAAGTCCTTACCTAAAGCGACTGCTCACTGCTTTTGTAAAACTTCACAGCACTTATGTACTGCCAGCAGGTAATTACTTTCCAAATTATTGGCTTAGTTTTCCCTCTCAATCCTGTTAGATATAAATTGCAGCACACAGTAACAGCAAACTAAATGCTATACATGCAGTTATACCACGTTTGTCTTGTGATATTCCTGAAAGTCTTGTCAGAGGCACACATTGAAAAACATAAATAATGGAAACCTGAGAGCAATAATTCATAATCATTCACCTGCATTATAGTGAAAATTAAAATGTACTATGACATTAATCGAGCCACTGGACAAGCTGGGTAGCTGAACTGTGCATAATGTAGACATTGGGGAATGATCTGGTCTTGCATAAAGGAGGTCTCAAAATCGCATAGAAAAATAGAGTTTTGTACCACTGAGCTTCCCAAAAGTCTGCTGTTGGAGCAGTGCTGCTTTCCTTCAATTGAGTAACGGGTAAGAAAACCCAGACAAAACCAAATCACAGAAATTTTGAATGACTCATGGGTAAGAAACTGCTACTAGGAAGGGAGGTGATACAGTTGTTCCAGCAATAAAATGCACGAGTTACCAGAGAACAATAATTAAGGTTGGTGCGTTTACTACTCTTTTCATACATCATGGCTTGACTTTGACTCAATGCGATGAGTCATTTTTATAGTGTGCTGCTAATCATTCTATGGGGAACCTCTTTAGATGGCTGGTCAGCTCATAGATCTGGACTGAAGAGAAGCTCCACATCTCAAACAAATACTAATATCCATGTGGCCTTATGGAATTGGTTTTGCAGTCTTCTACAAAGAGGAAAGGACTTTGCTTTAAAAGCAATGTTCACTTTTTTTTTAAGAGTTTTTTTTTAATATAATTTTTTAAAATCTTTATTATTCTCTTACCATGCAACTGGAGAGAGCACAAAGTTTCAGTACCTTGCCTTCTCTGTTTGTCTTAGTACTGAGAGTCATGGAAGAATGATAATGCAGAAAAACTGATGTAATTTATAGGAAATACAACTTAGAAGAAATACCGATTCTATACTGTAGTCTTTGTAGATTTTATTTTACTGAGGAGGAGCAGGTGGGACACACAAGGAAGCAACAAAACTAGAAGAAAAGGGATCTGCAGGTTTAGCATAATCTGTTAGAACATTTTGCTTTTTTTCTGCTGAATGTAAAAGACACAATTAAAAGTATTGAGTTTATTGTTTTTTTTACAGTTGATCCATTGAAGAACCAGAATTAGATTACTTCAGCCTTTGTTTGTATTCCACAAAATTCTTTCCTCTGTCTGAATATCAGTGTTTGTCTCTTTCATCTGGTTTATTTAGGTCTCCGTTTTATAGTGACCAAGCATAGCTATGGACAATCATAGATCTGCACTTGGTGATGTTTTGGAGTAGTTAGTTTCCAGCTATGCATACACATGACCACTCATGCACACACAGAGATAAACTAGAAAACAAGCCCTCTGAACTCATGTGACTCTACACACCACAAAGGGGATGAGAGAGGGAAAGAAACCTCTCCCAGAAGTCCTTAGTCCTTGTGTTAAAGTACCACATTGATCTCCATCTTTAGAGTAAATGTGAAGGTTTAGTGGGTGTTAATCCTTGCAAAATGTACTGCTTATTAATGATCACTCTAGAGAAGGTGACCTCCAGAGCCATGAATAATGCTCTGAGTAGAGCTTAAATGGTTCCTATGCTTTCATCTGATCTGCATTATTCTCTCTTTTCCCATCTCTTATTCTCACTTTTCCCATGTGGCAAT